GCGAGATAAACGTCGATTAAACTTCGACGTCGAATAAACGTTCGATTACCTTTATTCTGTTGTTACGAGTTTTACCAAGTTAGGCTCGCAGATGCATTTTTTGAACATGTCAATTCTCACGTGTTAATTTATATTTTATTGATTTTGGCCACTGTGACGTCAATGTTGATTCTCTTGTTAGAGATAGAAGAACGCGGGATAAACGTTAATTAAAATACGACGTCGAATAAACGTTCGATTACCTTTATTCTGTTGTTACGAGTTTTACCAAGTTAGGCTCGCAGATGCATTTTTTGAACATGTCAATTCTCACGTGTTAATTTATATTTTATTGATTTTGGCCACTGTGACGTCAATGTTGATTCTCTTGTTAGAGATAGAAGAACGCGGGATAAACGTTAATTAAAATACGACGTCGAATAAACGTTCGATTACCTTTATTCTGTTGTTACGAGTTTTACCAAGTTAGGCTCGCAGATGCATTTTTTGAACATGTCAATTCTCACGTGTTAATTTATATTTTATTGATTTTGGCCACTGTGACGTCAATGTTGATTCCTTTGTTAGAGATAGAAGAACGCGAGATAAAAGTCAAATAAACTCGGTCCGGTAACGTTTATTCTGCTGTTACGATTTTTACCAAATTAGGCTCGTGGATGGATTTGTCGAACTCAGCATTTCGATACCCTTGTGAAAATTTAATTTTGTGGATTTTTGAATCTGCTGCTTTGAGATCAACGACTTTATTGTTGGATCCTTAGTGCAACGCGAAATGAAATTACGGTAGAACCACGATTATCCAAGCTAATTGAGACAGTACAACAGTTCGATTAACAGAAAATTCGCTTAACTCAAGTGCTAGATTAAGTCTTTACCGATTTGTACAATGAATAGTGTGTCGTGCGTGGATCGTTTTCGATCGAACTACCGTAAATTCTCCCCAATTGTCCCTCAGCTTGTAAACAAAAACGGACAATTTGAGCAGAGGAGATACGATTATTCGAGAGCCTTGCGTCTCGCTTTTATAGTCGTTGACAATCGACAACAGTAAAAACGAGCCGCGAGAATAGAATAATCGTGTCTCCTCATCCCAAATCGTGCATTTTTGTTTACAAACCCGAGTATGGTTGCGGAGAATTTACTATATTTACGCGAACTCCTTGTTTGAAAAATACAAAATTCCAATAGCAGAACTTCGGACAATCGAGGTGCCATTGTAACCGCTCGAGGAATTGTTATTCTGGTCTCGCGATTTCCGCGAGATTAGGCTAACGAAGCTCTCCGCGCGGAAAATTGAAGCCCGGCTTCTCGATGTTGTTTATGCTTTCTGAATTGTGAGGCGGCGCGTTCGCAAGCTCCTCGAACGATGCCGCGTGTATCGATCGGAGATAATTTTAAAAAATTTGTAACTCCGGCGATCATGCGTGCACCGACATGAAATTTACAAGGTACTAAGGGGACAGTTTCACAGACGCTGCAAATAAATTTTGAAAGTTCGTGCAACGTCGAGGGACCGGCTATCGATTTTTGCTTGGTACACGGAGCTCCGCCATCACCATACAGTTTTATACAAAATCCAAGAGCATGTGCATACGGAGCGTTATCATTTGACGTGGAATGGCCCGCAGCTATAATATTGTTCCGGAATAAACTACTGGAAGCGGATCATTTCTGCTTTTTTTTCCACTTTGTTCGTTGCGCATTGTCATGCAGCGATAGTCCGACGCGTGTTGCGCGCGCGTTACCCAACTTCATTTTCAGACTGTTATCTCTTTAGTTCGAGGATCATGATCAGGCGACGCGCCGCAGGTTCTTCGATTCTGTGCAAGAATTTATGAATATTATTTTATTCTGTGATTTAAGATATTGATTCGAATCTATACAGGGTGTCTCCTCAGTGACTCTGTTACAAAGCGATATCTCCATTATCGTTAATGATACGCGGAAATGCTTCAGGGACAAATTGTTTGGTTCGAAGGGACACATATTGTGGTGGAAATCATTTTTTGTGAAGGTTATATTTTTTGAGATTTCAAGGTCATCGATGTTTTTTCAAATAGGATTACATGTTTCTATCATTTTATCGTGATAGCTAAGATCAAGACGAAGCTAATAACCTATAATACCATGACCTTCATGCGACCTTGGGTACGAAAAATAAAGAAATTTTTAGACATGGACATGTTTATTGATACCAAATTCCAGCATGTTTATATATATATATATATATATATATATATATGTATATATATGTTATGTTCCTTTCGGTAGATATCACGCTTTTCGGTACAACGTTTTGGTATGGAGTATGGAGCTCTGTCAAAGTTTTCATAATCGAATTAATAAATGTCTTGAAGTCGATGGAAATAATTTTGAATATTTATTACAATACATTTTTCATCGTTGATCTCCCTGTTGTAGTTATTTCATTATGCGTGTCCACGTCTAAAAATTTCTTTCTTTTTCGTATCCAAGGTCACACGAAGGTCATGGTATTATAGGTTATTAGATTCGTCTTGATCTTAGCTATCATCATATAATGATAGAAATATGTAATCCTATTTGAAAAAACATCGATGACCTTGAAATCTCAAAATATATGACCTTTACAAAAAAATGATTTCCACCACAACATGTGTCCCTTAGAACCAAACAATTTGTTCCTCAAGCATTTCCGCGTATCATCAACGATAATGGAGATGTCGCTTTCTAACAGAGTTACTGAGACACCCTGTATTTAAAGGGGCTGTTGCAAATTAATTGCTACAGACTTTCTACAGACAATTCTTCTGCGATCTAAAGGGTTCCAGTGCAATTTCTATCGTTCTACAAAGGATCACGCTCTAATCTCTAAGGATTCCGTGCTACTAAATCTCTACTAGATCCTCTACAGTTTACAATGCAAGATTACAATCTCTGGAAAGAACGCTCTTCCGGCGTCCTCTGAAAAATTATTTGGCTAAAAGGTGGACAAGCTTCTATTCCATTGGGTTGTTACAAAAGTAATTTCGCTGTTCCAAACGGACAGCATACGAAAGAAACCGAAGTTACTTTTGCAACAACCCGATAAATGCTAAATGATCAATGTTAGCCGAAATTCACACTTTGTTCTTTCTGGAAGACCGTCGCAGACGATCCAACGAGTACAAAATAACGAAGAGGAGAATATTCCTCAATGAATCATCCACGAGAATCGTCCAAAGCGAAAAGGTGTAAATTCGATGAAGGGTTTGAATCGGTTGGCACCTGGCCAGCTCGAGTAACCGAACACTTTGATTGCCACGCGTGCACGCCGCCGACTGCCCGAGGACCTCTCTCTCTCTCTCTCTCTCTCTCTCTCTCTCTCTCTCTCTCTCTNCTCTCTCTCTCTCTCTCTCTCTCTCTCTCTCTCTCTTTCTCTCTCTCTCTCTCTCTCTCTCTCTCTAAAAATGAACCACAGTTTTGCTTCGAGGCCGCGAACTAGGCGATCAAAGTGTCGAGTTCCGAAGTCCAGGTCCGCCGCCGATGCTTCAGCCTGGTCTTCAAGGTGTCCCAGAGTCACGTATCCTTCGGCAGGACTCCGGCAAACCCTGAAGAGGCTGAGGGCTCTCGGAACGCCCCAGCGGTTTCGGCAGTTGGGGCCGCGAACATCGATCAAAGGCACACGACGTGGCAAAGTACACAGAATCATGCAAGTTCGTGTTCTGGGTTGCTAGAGTTACGCGCGGCAAATGGCCGCTTCGAGGATCGTAACCAGCCGTTGGGTCACCAGGTCTCTTCGAGGCAAGCTGCTCGATGCTTCTCGAAGACTTCCAAAGAAGCGACGCTTCTTCTTCTTCGATGGAAGAGGCCTGGCATTCATCGCGAAGCGTTGACAGCTGTCCATCAATACCTCGGCTCTTAAGAGCGGCTTTCGGAATATTAATGCGAGTCGTTGTTTGTCCAATGAAACAAGTCCGAAGTGAAAAAGCAATGTAAGTGCCAAAATTGAGAAATTTTTTACGTATATCTTTTTATGCACAGTTATAAATGATGCTAATAGTGCTAATAAATGCAAACAGTACAAAAAATGTCATTGTTTGTCCAATGAAACAAGTCCGAAGTGAAAAAGCAATGTAAGTGCCAAAATTGAGAAATTTTTTACGTATATCTTTTTATGCACAGTTATAAATGATGCTAATAGTGCTAATAAATGCAAACAGTACAAAAAATGTCATTGTTTGTCCAATGAAACAAGTCCGAAGTGAAAAAGCAATGTAAGTGCCAAAATTAAGAAATTTTTTACGTATATTTCTTTTTATACATGGTTATAAATAATGCTAATAGTGTTAAAAAATAAGAATAGTTTACCTGAAATATCATGAAATAAAAATTCTTGCAATACCTCTTAAAGAAATATAATATATTTCAGTTTTTTCAATATATTCTATACTTTGATATTCTTTAACAATTTGCGTTAGTTTGGCACTTAGAGTGTTCGCAGATTTAAGGAATCGATGCTTTCAATACTTTCTTTTTTCTACAGACTTCTCCATAAAAACAGTTCTTTCGTTCATAAATTTATTTATTATTAATGCAAGGAACAAAGAACATTATTATGATTTCAAGCTATTGCGGTCTTACTTAGTTACGCGCAAGGATTGAGATGTTAATAGTTCGAAGATTACACAGTATCTACTCTTCCTCCTAGAAAATTACATTTTTGGCACTTTTTTGGCATTACATTGTTCTTCATAAAGCCTCTTCAAACGTATCGAATAAATTCCGCATAAATGTACCATTATAATTTCAATAATGCACATTAAAGAATTTGGAACCTGTTAAATATAATTAAGCAGAGTATTGTGTACAGCTGTCATTCACGGTCGGCGAACGATAGGTTAAAAATGAATCAATGGCGTAAGTATAGCAACCGGAAGTTGTGTGCCGTCGCGAAGTACATGTAGAAAAAGAAGAGAAGGAAAAGAAAGAAAGAAAAAAAGATAGAAAGAAAGAAAGAAAGATAGGGACATGCGACTCACCAATGCCTGGGCGGCGCTCTGGTGCTGCAAGCAAGAAACACCCAGTTACAAAATCACAGTAACGACAATCGAGTAGTTGTTTTTGTTGGCGGCTAGTGATTTCGCTAGGCAGCACGCACACACACGCACACATACGGTCGCACACGGCTATATATACATATATATATATATATATATATATACATGTATGTATACATATACATGTATACGGATGCTCGCGGGAAGCGTTTTCACATCGATAGAGATCATTGTGCACATCGAGATCAGGCCGCGTCGCGTCCGGAAATGCGCTGTCGATGGAACAAACACGGCCCGCGAAAACCTTTCGGCTCCAAATTGTTGCAAATTCCACTGTATTTGCGACGGAAGCGTTCCGAAAATCCGTCAACCCTGTCGTTGCTCTCGAAGAATTTGACTCTCGATGTTTACGAACCGACTTGAAATCCTACAAATTTCAAAAAAAAATGTTAACCTCTGCTATTCTTGACAAACTTAACACGTCTATTATTAAACTATCAACAGACGTTGCACTTTTTATTACAATTAAATGGATCTATAGGAAGACATTTAGACGTGCCTGTATCGTATAAAATAATCCTGCGAAGCTAGTTCCTGTGATAAATATTTATTTAAACCCTTGCACTAGGATTTCTTTCACAGCTCTGATAGAATGCGACAATTTTTCATTCGCGTACGTCCTCGTTTTATTTTCATTCCCAGACTTCCATAACAGTGCAAAGAAATTAATAATATTCATATATTTTTTAATATATTAAATTATAATTTAATATATTAAAATATATTATAAATATATTATCATTATTAATTATAAACATATAATTATATAAATATTTTTTATTATAATATAAAAATCTTTATCCGGAGTCTGATTGGTCGTTACAGCGCAAGAGCTCAAGAAGATTATTACGAATAAAATATTAAGCAAATAAACATCGGGATAGAATTCCGATATTTTCATCGCAAGAATTTCCACAATAATATCGGCACCTTCTCGCGACCCCGGTAAACTGCTGCCGAACGAGCACCATGAAATAAACATGACCGTTATCGAATTAAATCGAAAGTTCTCGCCGCGACGCGAGAGGTTATCGTACTGGCGAAAAAACTGAGCGAATTCGTTCCACCGGCAGCACGCGGCTACGAAAGCCAGGCCGAAGGTCGCCCGATTAACGAGCGAAGGGAAAGCACAGGACGTAGAAGAAGAGCAAGAAAAAAGAGAACAAAAAGAGAGGTCGCGAGGCAGGAGAGGAAAAGATAAGTTTGGCGAAGGGAAGAGAGAGAGAGAGGGATAGAGAGGAACAGCAAAAAAGGCGAAGATGAGATCCTTGAAAAAGTAAGTTTCGATCGCCTCGAATAATTGCGACCTTCGATTGATAGGGACCTCATTTCTCTCTCTCTCTCTCTCTCTCTCTCTCTCTCTCTCTCTCTTTCTCTCTTTCTCTCCCTCTCTTTTCCACTTTGGATAGCTGCTGCCCCTTTCTTTTCTGCCTAGGGTGCGCGAACATCTCGCAAGCGTTTGCGGGGGTGGGCAGAGCGGAGCAGAGCGGAGCAGAGCGGAGCAGAGCGGAGCAGAGCAGAGCGAAAGCTCGCGTCGAGCGATAACAAGTGCCATCGCAGTCCGTAGTAATTACGAGGCTGACGACGATGACGATGATTGGTGGTGAGGCCGCGGGGTGCACGTTCGATTGGATCGATCGCAATTCCGACGGCGAGTAATTAAAACAAACTGATCGGCGCGATTCCGCTGCGCGTGTCGCGGACCCGTCCGGCTACCTGTCTCCCACGGCTCCCGCCGCGGCGGCTCCGACGGTCACCTGTCCAAACTTCCTGGACACTTCGGCCGATTCAATTAAGTGTTTCTGCAGTCTGATTTGCGGTGATCAAGGCAGCTTTAAAATACCAATATTGTAGGCTAGACGGTCCGGTTACCGTTGCCCGTCTATTTGCTGTGGCTTTCGTATGTTTTCGGGCGTGATCAACCCTTTGCACTCGGGCGGTGACTCTGAGACACCCCATTAAAATTGTTAATTCAAATTGTTAAGAGCGTAACTGCTACACGAGTCGTCGCAAGACTCGATTTCATATGCATAAAATGCACTTTGTCATATAAAATGGAGATACTATAAATCGGGAGAATTATTTTAGGATTTACGGTTAAAATGGCTTCGAGCGCAAAGGGTTAACTTTATATTTATCCAATAAAACGTAATACAATTTTTCTACTCTTTCATTTTGTTTATGTTCGAATAAAAAAATTTAATATGTCTTACTCGATAAACGTATAGTTAATTGTGCCCGAAATGACCAGACTTGTTCCGCGAAACAGGAAGAAATTTAACCCATGATTATTTTATATTCAGCTGTATGAACATCCAGTACACAATGGATGATTGATATTGAACATGCAATATATGTATATTATACGCAATATAGAGTATACAATGCATGTATGCAGAGTACGCAATACATACATAGTGTATAGAGTACATATCCATATAGAGTATACAATACATATATCGAATATACAACACATACAGGATGTCCCATAATTATGTTAACACTCGAGAAGGGGTGATTCCTGAGGTCATTTGAAGTAACTTTTTCCTTAGCGAAAATGCAATCGGCGACATTGTTTATGAGTTATTAACGAAAAACAGTGACCAATGAGAGGGCGAGATTAGCTGTCGCGCAGCGGTCGAGCCAATGAACGGAACTGGGCTTCGTCCGCTCGTTGGCTCGGCCGGCTCGCGCCAGCTGAGCTGGGATTCGACCGCCTCGACCGCTGGCGCCGTTGGCTTGGCCGCCTCACGCCATCTGAGCTGGGATTCGACCGCCTCGACCGCTGGCGCCGTTGGCTTGGCCGCCTCGCGCCAGTTGAACTGTGATTACGACCGCTGGCGCCGTTAGCTCGGCCGCCGTCGCGCCAGCTGATCTCGCCTCTCACTGGTCACAGTTTTTCGTCAATAACACGTAAACGAAGCCGCGGATTGCATTTTCGTTGAGGAAAAAGTTACTTCAAATGATCTCAGGAACCCGTCATTTCCCAGAAGTATCATAATTTTGGGACACCTTGTATAGAGTATACGATACATACACTATACATGTACGCAATCGACGATTTCATGATATCCACGACTACATCGTTACGCATTTCCGAAGCAACTTTCCCAAAAACGAGACGTAGATCCTACCGGTCCCGATACAATTAGCTAATAACTCGAGCTGCCTATTAGAAAGATTAAAATTTCGCTGTGCCATTTGTCGAGCGATGAAAGCCCAACCGAAAGTTAACCTCGTCGGTTGGAAACGCACACTTTCCAGAACCGCGGAGAAATACAAATTTGCATTGGTATTAAACCAAGGAAGGGGGGGGGGGGAGATGAAAATTCGCAGAACAAAGCGCAGTCGGCGCGGCATTAACGCGCTACTTATCCGAGTTTGTTAGGATATTTATGGACCGCAGCGTGGAAACCTCGGAAGCCGGAGCCAGCGTTCCTCCGGCAGATATTCTACCCCCACCCCTCCCTCCCCACGCAGCCACCGGATCTGCCGGGACACGAAGTTTCTTCGGCGAGCCGCGAAAAAGCAAACGCAAACAGCAATCTGCGCGCGCGTTCCCGATCAAACCCGCGGGACTGGCTCGAACGTTAATCCCCGGGGAGGATTTCTGCGCGGAGGGTTGGCGGAGGGTTGGGGTGAACAAACTTCCCGCGCACTTGCCAAATAAATATTACAATATTCTACGGGATGGCCGGCTCGTGTTTCACTAACTGTACGGAGAACATTTTGATTGCGGACTATGTGCTCTAGAATTTGCTTTCAACATTTCTCTTGCTTTTTTGTTCCTCTCTCTCTCTCTCTCTCTCTCTCTCTCTTTCTCTCTCTTTCCCTCCCTCTGTCGCGCGCGCATTCTCTGTCCCACCGGTCGGGTGCGCCCTCGTTTTTAGGTCAGTCCGTGTGCACACCGACACGAACTTCTAACGCCATTAAGCGTGCTCTGCTCGGAGATTAGAGGGTCATCGATAAGACTATTAATAACGTCAAACTAATGAACCCGTGGACGACGTTTAATGGCGCCGTGATTAATGCGCATTAAAATAGCATTGGGAACGCGTAGGGCGACGTCGTACGCAACATCGAAACCTGCAATTCGAACGGATTACGTTTACTCGGAGAACACGGTTTTCCCGGAAGTTTCGAGGCGCAACTTCGCTCGACGGGCGCGAGCATAAGCCAGCTGCGTGATTCCGAGAAACTGCCGCTCAAAAATATTTGATCAGCAGTCTCAATAAGCCGGGAACACGGGTTTCAGGCGTTCCGGGACAGCTCCTCGCGAACCGGAATATTTTCGTGCGACGGGAACGTTCGTTGCTGCTTCCGGCATCTTTGCGAAAGTAGCTCGTCTTGTCGAAACGCGCGAGCTGTAACTGTTGTTCCGAGGAGCTTCGACAAAGAGCGAATCGAATGCCAGCGTTCCTTCGAAACTTCCGGAACCGTGGATCCGGCACCAGAGAATTTTTCGGAGGTTTCTACCTCACGATCGGCTTGATTTTCTGATGACTGAAAGAACGCGAAACCGCGCAGCGATCGTCGAAAAACGCTGAAAGAAACCTACATCGGTCAAAACGACCGTTTTCTTATCTTGCAATTCTGCAAACTTTGGAGACTCTTTCGTGGAAAACACTTGTATAAATTACATTATTGCAGCAAGTTTTATAATAAGAACTTTACAAAAACTAAATAAATTCGATCTTCTCACTTTTATGAAGCAATGCACGCCAATTATTGTTACTGTCTGGTTGGTTTAGTGTAATTATCGAGACACAAACAATATTTCCGAAGCAGCTAGGGAGGATCTACAGTAAATCTTCTCCAATTGTCCTTCAGCTTCTATACAAAAACGAACAATTTGGCTTGTTTTTATAGTTGCCGACTGTCAACGATTATAAAAACGAGGCGCGGGGATCGAATAATCGCATCTACCTACTACGAATCACCGGGAC